GAGGTAACATGAACGGACGAAGAATCATATCAAGACGGGAGGTCCTTCGCACTCTGCTCTGCTGGGCTTGAGCTGAAGCAGTCTTCAATTGCACCCTCTCCGCCCATTGAGCGTCCCTTCCTTTCGCGTTGCCCGCCTGCCGCCTTTGTCCTACCAGCACTCATCGTCTGGAGATAGACAGCCCTATCTTGACTCTTGAGCTTGCAACCTTTCCTTCCCCCTCCCCCTCGCCCTCCTCTCCTCCTCCTCGCCCTCCCCCACGGCTGCTCAGATCGCCTGTGCGATATGGCTTTCGGTCGGCTGGCTGGACGCGCACCTGCCCTCACTGCACGACTCCGCTCCATTGCACCTTCCACTCCCTCCTCTCGCACCTTCACAGCGAGGAGTACCAGGCCACTGACTGCGCTCCGATCGAGCCCCGAGTCGCCTGCAGCCCTCCGCCAGCTGCGCGCTTTCACACACGTCTCTCAGTCCTGGAATAAGACGCAAGAGGCACCCAATGCGCAAGCCTATCTGAACAGCGGCGCCATTTCTGGTGCACGTGATCTTGTCGATGTGAAGAAGGTTTTGGTCATTGGTAGCGGTGGTCTCAGCATTGGTCAAGCGGGAGAATTTGACTATTCAGGTAGGTGAAAGAGAATGATCCCAAGAGCGCACAATCCCTCAGAAAACTTGAAATTGACCCAAAAGCCAGGCTCACAAGCGCTGAAGGCTCTGAAGGAAGCCGGCGTCAAGTCGGTCCTCCTCAACCCCAACATTGCGACTATCCAGACATCGCACGTGCTCGCCGATGAAATCTACTATCTACCTGTCACCCCCGAATACGCCGAATATGTCATCCAAAAAGAGAAGCCAGACGGCATCTTCCTCAGCTTTGGTGGACAGACTGCGCTCAACTTGGGCGTCCAGATGGACGCCAAGGGCATCTTCGAAAAATACAACGTCAAGGTGCTGGGAACAAGCGTGCAGACATTGAAGACCAGTGAGGACCGTGATCTGTTCGCGCGTGCTCTAGACGAGATCAACATCCCGATTGCAAAGTCGATCGCCGTAAGCACGGTGGACGAAGCGCTGGAAGCAGCGGAGAAGGTCGGATACCCCATCATTGTTCGTGCGGCGTATGCGCTCGGTGGTCTTGGTTCCGGTTTCGCCAACAACGCAGAGGAGCTCAAGAATTTGTCGGCTCGATCTCTGACTCTGTCGCCGCAAATCTTGGTCGAGAAGTCGCTCAAGGGCTGGAAGGAGGCTGAATATGAGGTTGTGCGCGATGCAGCGGATAACTGCATCACGGTCTGCAACATGGAGAACTTTGACCCGCTGGGTGTACACACCGGTGACAGTATCGTCGTTTCTCCCAGTCAGACCTTCAGTGACGAGGAATACCACATGCTCCGGTCTGCGTCCATCAAGATTGTCCGACACTTGGGAGTGGTGGGCGAGTGCAACGTGCAATACTGCCTGCAACCAGACGGTCTTGACTACAGAGTCATTGAAGTCAATGCGCGTCTCTCTCGTTCCTCTGCATTAGCCTCCAAGGCCACTGGATACCCATTGGCATACACTGCCGCCAAGATCGGTCTTGGACACACCCTTCCTGAACTGCCAAATGCCGTCACCAAGACCACTACGGCCAACTTCGAGCCCAGTTTGGATTACGTTGTGACCAAGATGCCCCGATGGGACCTTGCCAAGTTCCAGAACGTCAAGCGCGATATTGGTAGCTCCATGAAGTCGGTTGGTGAAGTCATGGCTATCGGTCGTACGTTTGAGGAGTCCTTCCAGAAGGCCTGCCGACAAGTGGACCCCAAATTCCTCGGTTTCCAGGGCGAAAAATACGGCGAAAACCTCGACAATGAACTTGCGAATCCCACCGATCGCCGATGGCTCGCTGTCGGCCAGGCTCTATTCCACGAAGGATACACTGTCGACCGTGTACACGAGCTCACCAAGATCGACAAATGGTTCCTTCACAAGCTCCAGAACATTGTCGATTGCACTCACGAGCTCGAGGACATTGGCAGTCTCTTTGGGTTGAAGAAGGAGATCATTCTCAAGGCCAAGAAGATGGGATTCTCTGACAAGCAGATTGCAAAGGCGGTCAACAGCACCGAAGACGAGGTTCGCGCCCGCAGGAAGAGCTTCGGTATCAGGCCCTGGGTCAAGAGGATTGACACACTGGCTGCCGAATTTCCAGCAAACACAAACTATCTTGTCAGTCATGCCATTATGCCCAGTGAGAATGATTACTAACGTGTGTGTAGTACGTGCGTATCCCACACTGCTGTCGTGTGAGCGACATGGCGTCTTCTAGGACCCATCATGGCCGTAATCACGAACATTGTTTTCGAGTGTAGACGCTAACTTGTATCTATAGACAACCTACAATGCCTCATCGCATGATGTCACGTTTGATGATCACGGTACAATCGTTCTTGGTAGCGGTGTCTACCGTATTGGTAGCTCTGTGGAGTTCGATTGGTGTGCTGTCAACGCTACTCGCTCTCTGAATGCGCTCGGCAAGAAGACTGTCATGATCAACTACAACCCTGAGACCTACTCGACTGACTTCGATGTCGCTGACAAGCTGTACTTTGAAGAGTTGAGCTACGAGCGTGTCATGGACATCTACGAGTTGGAAACCGCAAGCGGCGTTGTCGTTTCTGTCGGTGGACAATTGCCGCAAAACATCGCTCTTAAGCTCCAGGAGTCTGGAAAAGCCAAGGTCCTTGGTACTAACCCTGAGGATATCGACAAGGCCGAAGATCGTCACAAGTTCTCCTCCATTCTCGACTCGATCGGTGTGGACCAGCCTGCATGGAAGGAGCTCACATCTTACGAGGAGGCCAAGAGTTTTGCAAGCTCTGTTGGATATCCTGTCCTTGTCCGCCCATCATATGTTCTCTCTGGTGCCGCCATGACCGTCATCCGTAGCGAAGACGAACTCAAGGAGAAGCTGCTTGCTGCCTCCTCTGTTTCCCCAGACCACCCGGTCGTCATCACCCAATACATTGATGGGGCACAGGAGATTGATTGCGATGCGGTTGCTTCAAACGGCAAGGTTCTCGTACACGCGGTCAGCGAGCACATTGAGAATGCCGGTGTCCACTCTGGTGATGCTACCCTTGTTCTGCCTCCTGTCAACCTGGACAAGAGGATTCAAGAACGTGTCAAGGAGATTGCCGACAAGGTTGCAAAGGCCTGGAACATCACTGGTCCCTTCAACATGCAAATCATCAAGGAGGAGGTCGAGGGCGCCGAGCCTAACCTGAAAGTTATCGAGTGCAACCTTCGCGCATCTCGCTCATTCCCCTTTGTCAGCAAGGTTCTCGGTACCAACTTCATCGATGTTGCCACGAAGGCACTTGTCGGCCGCGATGTTCCTGAACCAACCGACTTGATGGCTGTGGAAAGACCCTACCTTGCCACCAAGGTCCCACAGTTCTCATGGACCAGGTTAGCTGGTGCTGACCCTTACCTTGGCGTCGAGATGGCGTCGACTGGTGAGATGGCCTGCTTCGGAAAGGATCTTGTCGAGGCATACTGGGCATCAGCCCAATCGCAAATGAACTTCCGTCTGCCACAACCTGGTGAGGGTCTGCTTTTCGGAGGTGACACCACCGCGAACTCGCTCCACTCCACGTCCCTTGTTCAGATCGCCAAGTACATCCACTTCCTTGGTTACAAGTTCTTTGCTGCCAACCAGGACGTCAAGACACTGCTTGAGAAGAATGTGGAAGGTCTCAAAGTTGATGTGATTGAATTCCCCAAGGAGGACAAGAGAAAGCTGCGCGAGGTGTTTGAGAAGAACGACATCCGTGGATGTTTCAACCTTGCCAAGTACAGGGCGAACGGCCTGCTTGACGAGGACTACGTCATGAGAAGGAACGCTGTCGACTTTGGCGTGCCGTTATTCATGGAGCCCAAGGTGAGTAACTCATACTCTGTTGCCACAATGAATCTATGCTAATAACATCGCAGACCGCCGTCCTCTTTGCTCAGTGCATGAGCGAGAAGCTGCCCAAGAAGGAGGGTATCCCTAGCGAGGTTAGATCATGGAGCGACTTCGTCGGCGGCCGCCCATTGTAGATGACAAGTCACGGTCACGTTCACGGTCATGAAGCATTTGAATGAAAGGGGTCGAATGAGAAAGGGAGGAGAAATCGAGGCGAAAGAAGTGTACCCACTTCTGATTAGTGTGGTTTGAGCAACGGTTCAGCGGAAGCACTGTAAGAGAGAGAGAGAAAGGGAAAGAAGAAGATCCTTTCCATGTTCATGTACATCTATTCTCACCTCTCCATCATGTGCCTGCTTTTTTGTCGGCCAGTCTTACAAGTCCGAGGGCGTTGAGGAGGATTGGTTGGAAGCAACGGCGTGCGGTCACGCTTCTTCTTGTTCCTACTTTTCTTCTTCTGTCTTTTCAGGATTCTATCATTATCATTACTTTCCGGGAAAGCGAAAAAAAAGGTCGGCTCGGGCGTCTGTTGAAGTCTAGCGCGGGATTTTCAACTTTTCTAGCGAAATGGGCGAAAAAACAGTACCGTATTCAAAACTCGGGTTTTTTTCGTTTTCCACGATTATATATCTTTGTGTTTGATCCTACTAACACCTAGCTGCGTGCGGTTCATGTATCCGTATCACTTTAGACCCCCGTTTATTCCCGTCTGGCAGACTCGTGGAGGTAGAGGTATATATCTATGGGTGTTGGGCTCAAATGGACTTACTTTTGTACGTGGTGGGTTGGGTTGGGGGAAGGGATGCTGTTTGTTTGTTTGTGGTGGTTGTAGTTGTGCGTGTATATTCGTTGTATCTGTCTGTATGCATGCATGTAGTACAAAGAGCACCGGCGGCAGCAGCAGCAGCAAGCTCCAGTTTAAACACAGCATATGGTATGAGGAGGATGGTGTGTACCATGCCAAAAGCGATGGTGCAGGAGTGGATAGGCTGGTGTTGAGAGACGTGCATCGTGTGTGAGATTAGCACTGGAATAACGGTTGTTGTGCTCTGAGGGAGGGAAGAAATAAATATATATATGTAGAGAGAGAGAGAGAGAGAGAGGTGGGTGAATAGTCCATGAGCAGGGATTTCCAGCTGGACTTGAAGTACGCATGGAGCTACGAGCTCTTTCTCTGTCTTGTCTGTCTAGTCTCTCGTGCTCGTGCTCGCTCTTTGATGGGAAAGAAGAGCAGTGGAAATAAGGTGGGGAAGGAAAAAAATGGAAAAGGAAAAGCGTAGAGAAAACACTCCCACCACCAACCACCCTCTGTCCGGGGGGGAGAAAACGCCTTGCGCACCCGCTCGCATCAACTTTCTTCAATCAAGAAATAAATAAAAGATGAAATCGTGTGTATTGTCAAGTAGACTTTGCAGTCTGTACATGACGTATCACGATACCCATCTCTCTCTCCCTCTCTCTCCCTCTCTCTCTCATGAAAACTTCCACCGATTCCCGCAATTCATGCACTCGCAAAACGTCGTCATCGGCTCATCGGCACTCCTCGTCTGCGCCTGGCTGTACGAGACCATCTTCTGCTTGCACTTGCCGCACTGAAATTCCTTTGAGATTGCCTTTTCCACCTGGGCGACCATGGCCTGGTTGATATTTTCCTGCTCGAGAATCTTGTCTTCTGCGCGGCGCTCGTCCGACTTCATTTCATCGTGCGTCATGACGACGAAGCGCTTGGCCGAGATGTCGCCGCTGAAGACGCGCTTGCGGAGTTGGGGGTTGGTCTTGTTCTTTAGGTTTTGGAAGAGGGAGCGCATCTTGGCCTTGTAGGCGTCGTTGATGGAGCCGGCGTTGGTGTAGGCAGCTGCTTCGACTTGCTTGGCTATGACGAGGATCTCATCGGGCACTGTGCTGGGTTAGCGAGCTGGGTGAGTAGTGTGCGCTGCGGTTGACCTACTGGCTTCACTCATAAACGCCAGACCGTCGTACATGAGCTTTACACAGGCGTCTCGTGAGTCGTTGCCAGTGACTTGGTACTTGACCTTGTCGGTCCTGTGGTTGCGCTTGTCTGCGGGCACATCGTGCTTCTTCTTAGCCGCTGCGGGAGCAGGCGATGCGGTGCCTGATGGTGGAGGAGCCGGAGATGCGGATGCGCCGCTGTTGGCTGCCGTCTTTGCGGGGGTGCCCTTCTTGGGTTGCTTCTTGACTTGATCCCTCCATTTTGATACCAGCTCGGTAGCTAGCCTTTGCACGGCCGGGTCTTTGTGGGTTCGCAGGCGGTTGATAGTGACACCGATCCGTGTTGAGCGCAGTAAATCCTCGGTCGCGTCGACACCAGTCTTGAGGCCGTTGAGTAGGTTGAGGATGTTGGCACTGGGTTCGTTCTCCGCGACGGCCTTGCCAATCGCCTTGCCGCGCAGTTCGATCTCTTTGGCGTCCATGGCCATGTTGATGATGGTGGTGCCGAGCTGGCTGCGCAGATGGGTCGCGTGGGGGCGATGTCGGCGTTGTGGATGGTTGTGTGTGTTGGGACGAGTCAGGCGACAGTGATGGGGTTGTTATCACGGGTGAAGGAGGTGGTGTGCGTGTGTGAGTGTTTGTTGGCGGTTTTGATGTGTGCACTGAAGTTGTCGTGTGGTTTGCAATGACGAGGTCCGAGCGTGAAGACGCGCGCTAACTAGTCTCCGCGTCCACCTTCGACCTTCTGAACGATGGGAGGCTTGAGGGAGCCGCAACCGTCCAATTGTGCAACCGCGCCAGCAAACAACCACGTCCGCTCTACAAAGACCAGATTCACACCAATCTCCTTGTTTTCCTATCACGCATAAGCACACAAACACACCAATACACACATTCAACATGACCGAGAATGCGCCCCCGGGGAGCTCTGCCAACACCGGCGCAGATGGCTCGCGCGGGATGCCATACTACGAGAAGATACGACGCGATTTGCGCGAGTCGTTGAACAAGAAGCGCGGCATTGACGCTCAGCTGGTGAGTACAGCCATGCGACGCGCCTTGTGCCTTGTGCTCATTCCTGGCGCAGCACCAGATTGAGGACTCGATCAACCGCATGGAGACGGCCTATCTGGAGGAGACGAGCGCCGGAAACATCATCAAGGGCTTCGACAACTACATAAAGGGCGCCGCCACCACGACCACGGCCGGCGGAGCCAGCAATGCGACCAGGCGGAAGGCCGTCATCAGCGATGCAGACAGGATCTTCAGCCGAAGCTCAGCCAGCTTCCTCAGGGTACGTTCACACCACGGCTGGCACAACGACAGATCAGAGTGCAGCCCTCCAAGATGCAAGCCCATCATGTACTGACTTTGAAATAATAGGAAGCCTCCACTCCCGCGACCACTCCCTCCCATGCAGCCACACCGACCTCATCTTTTCCCACGCGCGAGAATAGCCAGCCGACGTCCAATGGTAATAAGATGGGTGGTGGGAGCAAGAAGAAGAAGACGACTGCTGAAGACGACGACGAGGACAGTAGCAAATCCAAACGTCAGAAAATCTCCTACGGACGAGATTGAAGTGATAGCCCTCCCCACCACATCCCCCCCCCCCAAAAAAAAGTGTCATGACAAATATTCGACATTTGCCCGTAACATCCGAGACAAAGGAGATGTGAGACAAACCCGTGGCAGTGCGGTAGGCATTGATCTTGGTGTTTGGAACGACACCCTTGCAAGTACGCGTCCTTTGGAGACCTGAGACGCAAGCAAAGCAAAGGACCCACCGAACACCAAATCCTCAAAATAGTAAGGTTCGGGGACATGGCGGTGAAGCGGTCCATGAGCATGGGATCCGTGCCAGCAACGCGCGTTGCAAAGCCAAAAAAAGAAGAAGAAGAAGAAGAAGAAGTTAACTGGCCTGCCTGGCTCACTTCAGCTGGCTGTGTCTTGTGCCGACCAGGGAAGATTGTGGGAACAGGCATGGCTTTAGCGTAAGACCTGGTCGCACCCCCTCCCCTTCCCCGCCCGCCTCACAAAACCATGCAGGCCTGCCCCATGTCATGCCTTTCTGAAACCACTGGAAAAGCCAAAGATCGGATCGTGCATTCACCTTCGCGGGGTATCCGAGTACTGTGTACGTACGTACTGTTACTACACATGTACCCGCTCCTTTGGCAGCACGCATGTATCGTGACGATGCCTGCATGCGCCACGCGTGCGTACCACACCCCCCCCCCCCGCCCACTTATCCACCTGCACGCCACGGCGCAATGTTTTTCATCTCGACGCATGCAATGCATCACGGAACTGGGCGTTTCCCTTTGCAGATGCAAGTGGAGATGAATAAGTCACACTGCGCTTGCCGCTTGGGTTGGGTTGGTTGGAGGAGGTGAAGCAGGGAGGCCAGGGCGAGGATCAAGTCAAGATGCATGTTGTATGCAGTGTGTAGGAGTAGATTGACTTTGCACTTTCACGCCTCTTGTTTTGCTATGGGATGCTGTGCGATGCTGTGCGATGATGCCATTTCTCAAACAATCAATCAGTCGACCAGCCGCAGGCCACACGGATGGAAAGGAAAATAGCAAAGAGTATACCGACATCAATTACATCATGGCAATGTAGTGTACTGTAATGCACGACCAGAACATTCGCTCTATACACTATGCATATCATACTCGCTTGAGACCTGGACAAGTCTTACTTGTTCTACCATTCATGCAGATGATTGTTGTTATATTGAATCTCACGTAGAGGTGATGCCTGAGTACTTGGCTTTTATTAAGAACAACAAAAACTACTGGCGGACGAATACCACCATACTGTGAGACTAATACACCGAACTCATGACCTTTCTCTGAAAGAAAAAGGTAGGTATAGCATGATATCTTACATGCACTCTTTCAACCTTGAATTGATGCTTGGATTGGGTTGTTGGAAATAGAATCGGGATGGGACGAATTGGCACATGTGTGGAAGAATGCACCGCATACCGGGTGCAATTACAGTGCAACACCCAACAGATTCAACCGGAAAGGAAGAGAGGAAAAAGAAGAGAAGAAACAAAGATCTAGAGAGACTTGTCCCTTGGAATTGCCTAGCTTGATCATGGACAGTTTGTCAAACAAGACACCGCAGCTAGACACACGGTACCGTACCCGCCATGATGACCACACCCATCCTCCAAACCCCTCTCTCCCCATCAAGCCGACAAACTAGTAAGTAGTAACCTCCCGTCTCCCTCTCCCACACCACCTCAGCCGCACCCTCCAACTAGCTGCAAGCCAGCCCAACGCCAGTTGCAGCGGGCATAACATAACATTACGTTAGGGGAAAGGGAGCCCCCCCCCTCGCCTCACCCAGTCTATCTACGATTGTACACATGGACATGTGTACCATCATACATACATACACACGTACACATCGTATAGTACACACCACATACCACACTACCATGAATGCGGCAATACCAGCGACACCGCATCCAGCCACACCTGCTTTTCCTCCGCATAACATTCGAAGCCTGAAAGCAGCGAGCGCCGGCGACTGTGGACCTGTTCAATCGCACAAACCTACAAGTACGTGTCCGGTACCCGGTCGAGTAGGTAGATATCCTTGACTGTACGCCACGATCCACAGCCGTGCCAGTACCTCATCAGTGAATATTGCGATGGATCCTACCCATCCCCTACGAGAGTGTACAAGTACATGGCTGAATCACGCATACCCATCCACCAACCTCGCCCAACCTAACCCTGCCCACGAGCCAAGCTCCCCAATTCCCAATGGCAAAACCTCGCGATCCCTCCAACGCGCGCTCAAGACCCATGTCCTGCCATGCCCTGTCCTGCCATGCCCTGTCCTGCCCAACAAGCCCAACATACCTATGATAGTACCATACTGCGACTCCCTACCCGAACCAGGGACACCACGAAACGCAGATTCTAGGTCTAGGGGGTTTCCCCTGGTGTGTTGGTTGGTACAGGCTAGAGGGTTAACCTTTTGGCTGGTGTGTAGATGGGGTGTAGGCTGTGGGGATGTGGGTGTGCTTGTTACTTGGAGATGGGTGGATGGGTGGGTGAAAGGTAGGGGAGCGTGGGGAGAATCGGTACGATCCAGAATGGACAGTCTTGTCCTCTTGGCCTACTGTAGATGAACGGAGGGAAAAAAAGACAAGACGGTGGATTTGTTTGATTCGCTGGGGTCTGCTTTTTGTTCAGCGATACCGGGTTCATGAGGGAAGGTTATGGTTGCAATTTTTTTGGTGATTTTCTTTTGGGTTTCTTCGTTCTTCTTTCTCTATTCAAAATAACAATGGATTTTCCTAGTCGCATCTTGGAGAAGAAGAGAGAAAGAAGGACAAACACATGATGCATTATTTCCCTACGAAGCCCTGTGTTTCACATACGCATATACTGTACATAGTTGCTCCGTGAACATTCTCTGCGCCCCCCCCTATGTATCATCCCAAACCACTTCAATCCATCCCAACCCACTCCCATCCTCTACCTCGAGCAAGCACCTCCCAAAAGAAAACAAACGGTCAAGTTTACCCACGGTCCCACGCACTACGATACCCTCACGATCAAGATCGCGCGATACTTCCCATCGGGCCGATTACAAGAAGCCCCGCCGCCAAAGTACAGGACTACAGCACAAGAGGCCCACAAAGCAAGCGCGCTGATTGGACGGATGATACGCTGACACAAACCCGGGAGATTTGGTTGAGGGGGGAAAGGAGGGGTGGGGGGCAGGCGGACAAAGGTCGTCGTTGTCTTTCGTCGTCGTCGTTGCGAGGGAACAGACCGCTTTTGCGGCCTTGGCCGCACAGAGAAAGAAAGCCGACTGCATCTCGAACTCGTCAAGTTACATGCACGAGATTTGCTTTTCTGCCAGCTGTGCGTATGACCAATGTCTATGCGACAAGGTCCATTTTTTTTCAGACTTCTAAAACACAGCTTCGGGAGGGGAAAAGGGTAAGGGAACCAAAAGCAGCGGCGGCGGCGGAGGAAACAGACCGAGGTTTCTTCGTTTCGTGTGGCTGAGATAGCTGGTAGGTACGGTAGTTACGATAGATAGCCCCCCAAGCGGCCGCAAAGTGGCTACCGGGCAGGACAACCAGACAGTCAGACGGTCAGTCAGTCAGTCGGTCAGTCAGTCAGTCAGTCAGTCAGTCAGTCAGTCAGTCAGTCAGTCAGACAAGGGCATCCCACTCGTCGTTGTCGTAGTCAGCTTCAAGGGTGAAGAGTGGAGTGGAGAGAAGAGAGAGAAAGAGAGAGAAGGAAAGGGAGTGGAGTGGGTGCGGTGCCGGTGCGTCAGGGTCCAGGACGACGCTAGTCAGCAGCCGACGCGCGATGATGTAAGCCAAGGCCCGGGTCTTTTGCAGGCGAACAAGCCCCTGCAAGTAAGCGCAGGCCTTGCGGAACGCCAATGATGGCATGACGGAGACTTGGGAGACGCTGGGTGACCACACTTTTGTCGCAACTTGCTCTGTCGGACCAAGGAACCAAGCAGGCCCTTCCCCCAACCCCACCGCATGTCCGGGAGAGAGAGAGAGAGAGAGAGAGAGAGAGAGCGAGGGGTCCAAAATGGGGACGGTTGCAAAGCTGAGCGGCCGGTCGATCGAATCAATCATAGGCTGGGTCCTCTCGATACGTCGTCCCCGTTACTCTAGTACCTGCGGGCCCAAACTCTGTCCTGTCAGACGCGGTTAAACGGTCGAGGCGAGCAAATCCAAAAACAACAACGATGACCCAAAGGGGAAAGGGGGGTGAGAAACCAGCAGATGCGTATATAAACAAGGGTCTATGATTTCTGGTCGCATTCCTCTAGCAGGAATGTTGCGTCATTTCGCTCCATTGCAGGCGTACTTTCCGACACCAGAAGTAGGTAGTAGTAGTATAGTTGGATTGCCACCACACATAACCCTGCCAACTTATTTTGCCATTGGAGGGGAAGGGGGGGGGAAAGCAAAGCCAAAAAAAATATATAATGCGAGGGCGTTTCATGCACGCCTTCTGAATTACTGTACAACGTCATGCAAGCCCGCCCCCGAGGACCAAACACCCGAGTTCGCTCTTCGCTCGCGGGGCGGGTGGGCTAAGTGAGAGTCTATAAGATTATAAGGGTATAAGCGAATGAGGATGCTCCATGACGACAAAAACAAGGACCGGGGCCAAGTTGTTTGTTCGAGCGACCGAGGTCGGGAGACAGGGATTACAAAGTAGGCGCACCGAGACAGAAAGACGAGTCTCGGTGCGATATAGGCGCGCGTGTTGGTACAACCAGTAACGATGACAGTAGGGTGTTTCGCTCATGAGAAACAAGGGGGTACTCGTAAAAATGTAGGGGAAAAAGTGATGGGGAAAAAGAAAAGTGAAAAACGCCGTGGAACGCCATGACGACACCCTCGTGCGGTGGGTGGTCGGGTATTGGTATCGCAAAGAAGCCGTGGGGGGTGCAGTGATTCAGCGATGGATAGAAGAAAATTCGTCCCGTCCTGCCGTGCGTGACAGGACCCCGTCTAAATGTGCCGACCTGAAATGTTGCTCTCTGAAAACGCCAGAAGACTGATGATTGTGCCTGCTGGTCCCGAGAACGTGTGTGTGTGTGTGTGTGTGTGTGTGTGTGTGTGTGTGTGT